TTCAGTTCGAGTCAGGTCCTTGCAGTTTTTAGCAGCCAAATCTTATCCCCAATCTTCACACACCTAACCTCTCTCTGTTTTTTATTTTTTTATTTATTTTATTTATTTGATTTGTCAATCGCTTACAAGATACAGGTATAAGAATAAACATAGTTTTGAATACATGAGATAGATACTTATAAGAAAAATAAAAAGAAACAATAGGACAGGGATGGTAGGCATGATTGGTGTGCTTATGCACACCCCCTATAGGCCTCTTAGGAAGGGGGTGAGGTCAATAGTAGACAGTCTAAGGTTAAAGTTTTGGGGGCTTGGGGAAGAAACCACAGAGTCAGGTAGAGTATTCCAAACATTGACCACTCTGTTGCTGAAGTCGTATTTTCTGCAGTCAAGTTTGATGTGGTTAACCTTGAGTTTGTATCTATTGTGTGCTCTTGTATTGTTATGGTTGAAGCTGAAGTATTCATTTGTAGGTAGGACATTGCAATGTATGATTTTATATACTATATTTAGATCAGACCAGAGGCAGCGTAGTTCTAGGTTTTCTAGGTCTAGAGTTTCAAGTCTAGTGGCATAAGGTATTCTGCAATGAATAGAGGAGCGGAGAACTCTTCTTGTGAAATATTTCTGGACTTTTTCAATTGTGTTTATATCAGATACATGATATGGGTTCCAGACTGATGAGCTGTATTCAAGTATAGGTCTAGCAAATGCTTTGTATGCTCTAGTTAGTAGTGTGATATTACCAGAGAAGAAGCTATGTAGGATTAGATTAACAACTCTTAATGCCTTTTTGGCTATGTAGTTACAGTGGGCTCTAGCACTTAGATCACTAGAGATGAGTACTCCAAGGCCCTTGTCAGAGTTTGGATCCTCAACAAGGTCTTGACTATTAGGTTGTATTTTATTTTCTGATTTTTTTGCCAATATGTAAAACAGAGCATTTATTTGTTGATATTTGAAGTTGCCATTTGATTGACCATTTTGATACATAGTCAAGGTCTTTTTCAAGGGTAGTAGAAGTAGTAGTGTTGCCTCAATTTTAGTCTCCTTGATCTTATTTTCCAGTATGTACTACTATTCTTTTTGATTGTGTAACCAAGCATCTCTTATATTAACGCAGCTGTACCATGTACCAGTTCATTGGTTGGAGTTATTATGGCAGTAGGTATTATTGTGAGGGCTCTAGGAGCATATTTTAGCATACTATCTGATAGCCCTTCTCTACTGAGTCTTGGGAACCTGATATTATGCCTCATATTAACAGCTGTGCTCTGTAATGTAGAGGGTGATAATAATGTCACATCTTCAGGGATAGACTGTACATCTGGTTATTCTTCTGGAATTTCTCGAGTATGGGATGTAATGTGTAGTTGGTCTATCTCATGTTGTGAGAGCAGCTTCCTCCTCAGTCTATTGAAGTGTTGGGTAATTAGCTGTTTCTCAGTTAATGTGGTTCAGGTCTTCTGTCCATCTACAGTTTCCTGATGCATTTCATTTATCTCCTTCATTAGTTCTACTTTGCAGTATGAGTCCAACAATTCCAGGTTCTCTTGTCTTGACCATGTATGGTTAGTTCCAATAGCCCACATATCAACAGATTTTCCTGGTTCTCCTACATCTGATGCGGTCTTTTTTCATCTGGACAATGTTCAAACTGGCAGATCTTTCCTAGTTTGTGTCACTGTCATACTTTGAGGTTGATAAATGAAGCTTTAGGGGTCTTTGTCCAAGGACCCCTACTAATAAGGCATTCAGCTTTGTTCAGGTATTTTCCCACGTCATTGTAGTTGTGCTTTTAAAGTTGTAGCAACGTTTCGGCAGAATCTCATCTGCCATCATCAGGCTTCTGTATTGTGTCCGTCTGGTATTCTCATCAGGTATTCTCATATTCTCATGGTATTCATGAGGCTTCTGTATTGTGTCCGTCCAGACGGACACAATACAGAAGCCTGATGATGGCAGATGAGATTCTGCCAAAACGTTGCTACAACTTTAAAAGCACAACTACAATGATGTGGGAAAATACCCGAACAAAGCTGAATACCATAAATGTAAGTACCCGCGAAAACTTAAGAAAACATACATACAAATACATATGTATTTCTGAAAAATTGTGCTTCCAAAAAACAATCTGCCAATGAAATATTTTCTTTTAGAATAATAAATGCCACAAGACAGCGTGCTCATATATTGCTGACCTTTCATTCTTCCAAATGTTTTATAATAACTTATAACATATATTTTTTTATCTACAGTATCACAGAATAACTCCTCACCAGAGAGGATTTATTTGAGCAAAAAGTTTGACTCAGTCTGAGTAAACCTTTATTTTTCTGATTGGAAGTGTACCAAGAGGATAAAAATAAACTTTCCATCTTGGAAGAAATAGAATCTGTACACAGTAGTGATAGCTAAGAAACTGAAACTGAAATAGCAATGTGTAAGTCTATTTGTCATATTGGAATTTTTTTCTTGTTTTTCTTAGTTCTTTTTCTAAAAGTGAGAGCTTGGAAAAATTAAAGGTCAGAATATATGACTTAATTTTATTTTCAGACTGATGGATTATTCTGTCTTCCAACTTTTATTTCTTGTCAGTATACAAAATTAACAGATAATAATGAAGATCTTTTTTAACGTAAGTTCAGTTAGTGAACATTATTGCCTGACAAAAATATACTTTAATCTGTAATGAAGATACCAAATAAAATAATACTACAGGTAGTCCAACTTAACCGTTGTAATTTTGGTTACTATGACAGGTCACAAAATACAGCATTATGTGACTGTGGTGCTTTAGTGACAGCAGTTCCTGCATTTCCAGTTGCTGTTATTATGCAAATTCTGCAATGTCATTAAGCATGGCATCATATAGTCACCATTTCCTACGTCCTTCCTATTCCCCAAATACTTTGTTCATTGGAAGCTGGCAATGAAGGTCACAAATGGTGACCAGAAATTATGATGTCACTGCAAGATGCTGTGATATCATAATTTTAAGATGGTCACCAGGTGACCAGATTGTAATCACATGAACATTGGTGTGCTGTCACAGCTGTTCAGCACTTGTATTAAACAAGGACCACTTGTGGTTCAGCACTTTTATTTAAAAAGTCACTGAACATGTGGTTGCTAAGTAAGGACTACCTGTATGACTGGGGCATATGGCTACACATATTCTTAATGTAGTATAGTGAACTTAGATAAGTAAAATATGCTACAAAAATGAATATTTGATATTGTTCTATTTTTATTTTTTATACTGTAGTTTCCAAAATTTTACACTTGTATGTATGCAAAATAATTACAGTATCTGCAAAATATATAGACTTTGGAAGATGCACTGTGCTTTAAAATTCCATTTTCAAAATATTGTGAGTGTATTTTAGCTACCACATTCATGCAAGAATCTTTTTGATGTTTTAGTGCAGAAGCAAGTTTTCTATCAAGTGATTTGTATTTTATTCAAAGTATTTTACTTTAGGGTATATGGTTTGAAAAGTAATAGACTGATAATTAAACTATTTCAGTATTTGTTAAACTGATATAATTATGTATTTGTATTATTCATTTGATTTTGTTTGAAGTTGCATTATTTTCATTTCTAATTAAATATAAATAATGTAATAGTGAATTTCAGTTTAGAATGGGAAGCTGATAGGAGTGATTCTGGTCTTAAGGACTAAAGTTATTGCCTGAAAAGTATGGAAACTCCTCTGTGAATCTGATGAAATGTCAGATAGAAAGCAGGGTCCAGCTCTAGAAAACTACAACCAAAGGAATGTTACAAATTAATTCCTTTCCGGACACAATCTTTGAATAGCCTCAACTGTTTGAATGACACGCTTTATTTCATGTTATAAAAAAATTCCTCAATAAATTTGTCTGGTGGTGCTATCATTTTCACACTTACTTCATAGTAACTGATTACATAGTATTTTGATTTATTTTTTCAATGTTTATAAGCACCTGTCTCACAAATGTAACTCTCGGTGCAGAGGTGGTATTCAGTAGGTTCTGACCAGTTCTGGAGAACTGGTAGCGGAAATTTTGAGTACTTTGGAGAACTGGCAAATACCACCTCTGACTGGAGATTTTACAGCATCCTTCCCCTACCCACCAAGCCACGCCCACAGAACCAGTAGTAAAAAAAATTGAATCCCACCACTGTCTGGGTGATGTACAATAAGCAAAAAGTTAAAACAATTTAAAAAAAAACCCAAATAAAATCAAAACTATAATACAAAGGGTTTATTTGGTCACCATGTTTGAAGGTTTTATATGCTCACACTGTTTTTTGATTGTGAAAACTGTCTGCAAAATTAAATAATATGGCAAGTGTTTATATAAACATAAACCTCTCTCTTTTACACTAAGTAAAATAATAGATGCACCATTTTGGCTTTTCCACTTCCTTACAGTACACAGATATACAAAAATATTATTTCTATGTTCCTTTTCTTCCTTTTTTTAAAAATACCATTCAGTTTTTTACTAATATTTCAGATTTTCTTCTAGGCATTTACGTTGTTAAAAATTATTTTGTACTGAAGTCGTGAATTCATATTTATAAGCAATATTAGAATGTGGGATCATATTTCATATGCAAATTCATTTGGAGATAGTTTTAAATTAGCTATCCTTAACCCAAAGGTGCTTTTCAAAAGGCAATTGGATTTTCTTGGGGTTTTTCCTTGAAAACATTTCGCTTTTCATCCAAGAAGTTTCTTCGGCTGTGGATGAGCTTCTTGGATGAGAAGTGAATGTTTTCAATGAAAAAAACCAAGAAAGTCCAATTGCCTTTTGAAAAACATCTTTGGGACAACCATGTCCTTGATGACTGAGAATAGATATTTAGCTAGCCTTAAATGGTATTCAATGTATAACTGTTACGATACCTCAAATTTGGGCATCTTTCTCCTTTGCTATCTTCATTTTAAAAAATAAATAAATATCTTTTTCCCCTTCTTTTAGACAATTATCTCTTGGTGCCATAGCACATGGATTTCAGGACTTCATGTGAAGAGGTAGTGCAAATTTTTCTAACTTAAGCATGTACATATGTACTTATTTTATCTCGTTTATGCTCATGATATTGTATGAATTGTGTGAATTATTAAATGGAGGTTTGCATATTTAAAAATAAAGCAAAACTTTATCAGCTTTACAACCAGGGCAAGGATACGCGACTTCTCAAACTTCCATTCTTTGAATGTTTTTGTGTTTACAAAATCAAGCTTCACACAAATGCAAAGATGGTTTTAATAGGGCTACACTTCAGTTAATATCATATCTACAATTATAACCCTGTATATATAAGAAAACAATGAACCATAAAAAAGCTCTTTATGTGTTCATGGACACATTTATGCATGCATCCTTTTTATCCCTTTTAATTCCATGCTGACCATTGGACTATGAATGTGGTATGCGAAGTCTTTATTTTTCATTTTCTTTGCCTAGCTTTTCTACATTTATCTCCTAATCTTCCATTTCCTTCACTTTCCATATTCTAGCATCATTAAGAACTAATTATAAATAATGGTAGAAAATTTAAAAAAGTGTTAAGTATGAGTAATAATGAATTTATTAGCATTAACCCCAAACAAAGGAATATGAACTTTAATTTATATGAGGCTCATCTGTCAGTTCCATCAATGGGGAATTGAACTCATGGGTCAATGAACTTGTTATGTGATTATATGCAGTGCATTAGTTTTAGATGGTCTTCAGGCTCAGGGGTGTTGGTGGGTGGAATATATAGAGGTCAGCTTTAAAATATTCTATATAGCATACTTTTTTTCTTAAACTCTCAGCTCAGAGATACAGGTATTATATTAAATCATGCTCTCATTATGAGGTATGTGTATAGAGAAATTCCTTTCAATGTCCAATAAAGGACAGAACTCATAAAACCATATACATGAGGACATGAGGTAATGCAACTTCCATATCTCCCTAATTTGAGAGTGTGAGGTAAAGGAAGTAGATTTAGAATAATGAATAAATTTGAATAAGAATGGAATAAGATGATTAGAAAACTATTCAGATAATCACAAACAGTTTTGAATTAGCAAGCTACCATAAAAAGTAAAAAGAGACAAAAGCCCAGGATGTGTTCTTCTGAACATTCCTGAAATAGTGTGTATTGCAATGTTTGATAGCCAAAGCTAGAATAATAGTTCAAGGGTGTATTGTATAGCTACAACTATTGTACTGTGAAATAATACTAGGGGGTTCATATCACTGAATTGTGTTTGTGTGTTTGCTGGGATGTGTTTTGTTTTGCTTTTCTCATGCTTGATTTCCTTATTCATTCTGAATAGGTTTTGCCTGTGTGCATCCCACTGCTGACTCTTATTTTAATTTCACTGTGATGCTTAATTAGGCCTACTGTATAGTTAGATGTTATTTAATTCTTGCCCCTAGCTTTTTTCATCAAGCTGCTTGGGATATTTTATAAGGTAATTAGCCAGGAGATGAATATAGAGTCAAATAAGACAGCATAACTATATATAAGTTTTTCAATAAATGTTATGCCAAGAAACCATTGAATGAATTAGGAACTGTTCTTCCAAAATTACAGATCAACACACATTTCTGCCATCCAGCTAACCTTATTTGGTGGAGATTAACAGAATTAAAATGTCACTCTGTATTTGTTCTTCATCATTCCTGTTTTCTTCCGTCTCCTGAAAACCATATTTATTTTCTCTGCTGTTACCATGAAGTTCAAATGCAAAAAACATGAAATTTAGAGAGAGGGGTGTAAAGAACCAGTGTTAGTCATAAAATTCTAAGATTGAGAACATGGGATTGATTCCAGGTCTGCACATAGTGCTCAGATAGAGTTTGCTGGAATTTATGAAATTTAATATTAATTCTTAATATTTAACCTTTATTGGCTGACATAATGACTGCAGATTTTATAGCAGCCCTCCAGGGGCATTGGATTACTCTTCCTTGTATTTAAAAGGCTGCTCTGATTGAGGAAAAGTATTAGGGTCTATACTGTACTTAACAGGCTTACAAACTTGTTCCTTGTTTCAAGAAACAGTTGGCTTCCAATGGGATTTCCATAGTTAGATGTGTATGCACTTGGCAAATTTCCAAAGTGGTTGTAAGATGTTGGATATCCTTATCTTGGGTAATAAAATTTGGGGAATAACTGAAGTAGAATAACTATCCATGTGTCAATAAAAGTTCAGAAATTCAAAAGAGGAAAAGGGGGATGAAGTCAGAGATCATTGCACCTTCCAAGCATATAAACTGTCCATCCAAAAAGTCTCACATGCCCTTAAATTCCAATGAAAGGAAGGTGAACATCAGCAAAATAATTAGTCAGTTGTTTTTGGAAAAAAAAGTTAGAAAAGTTTTGAAGTAGAAAGTCTACAACCTGTTGTAGATTATCCAACACTATGGTGGCCTTGCTCTTTCCAGAATATCTGTGGATTATTTTTAATTAATTAATTAATTCACAAATCTAAGCTACAATCTGAAAAACACTTATATTGAATTTGTTTTTGTATATTGAAGAGTTATTTACAGGATTATAATAATAAAACAGAGCGATCATGAGTGGAACTTTTTATAGTGTTTCTGTGATACCAGCTATGGTCTTGGCTGTTGAGTAATCCTAATAATTTTAGTTGGATAAATCAAATGCTGTAACTTTAATATCAAATTATCAGGTTTCTATTCTATCAAATAATGTGCAAGTTGTATTTTATATGCATATGTAGGATACTGAAAAATAAGCCCTACTATTGCAAAAGGTTTTTTTTAGTTTAAGATCATATTTTGGAAGTTTTAGTCCTTCATCCATATACAAAGCCCAGATACATACAATATTTAAATGTTACTTAATGTTGAGTACTACTAATGTTCTATTAGTAATTTTTGTCTTGCATGTTTCAATATTTTTATTTACTTCTGATAATTGGAAGAATGTTAATGGATCATTTGAAATATACCTTATTTTGTTCGTTTTACTGAATTCCAGTTAAAAACTAAAGGATACTATTTTTGATCCTTTGGTCCATAAATAATTTGACAAGTAATAAAACTTTTTTCTTCTTCTGCCTTTTAAAGTCAAAGACAGGGATTTGTTTGCTACAGGATGGTAATCAGGAACCTTTCAAAGTGCGGCTGCACTTAGCCAAAGATATTTTGACAATTCAAGAACAAGATGTCATCTGTGTGTCTGGTGAACCATTTTATTCTGGAGTAAGTAACATGTTTCATAGTAGCTTCCAGATTAAAGCTGTTATAAATTTTCAACTTTCAGAGTTATTTTTCCACCTAGAAATGTCAAAATAAATGAAGTAATATATATTGAATTCAGAATGAATATTGAGATTTTAAAAAAACAGCATTCAGGGAGATAAACTAGGAAGACTTCCTGTTTCTTTCTTCTGGAATAAGGTCTCTTGATCTTTGGTTTCAAGCTTGCCTCTGGTTTCCATTTTTGATTCTGATTAACATCTTGTTCCATGACTTCTTCTTAATATATTGCTCCCCCACAATCTGATGACTACAGATAGAGAGTATAAAAATATATTAATATCATAGTGTCATTCAGAATAAGCAGTTCATTTTGTAAGAATGAAATGGAGTAATGGGATAATAATAATGACTTTGCTTCAAGATTAAGAAGTCACAGAAAGCATGTTTTCTTAAGGATACACTGAACACCTCTGGATTATTGAGATTAAAAAGTTCATTAAGCGAGTAAAGATGAATTAGAAGAATGCAAGAAGATAAGTCATTACTTCTCATGAATTATCCTATGTAATATACCAATAAAAGCCTATTACCAAATTATATCTGATTTTACATATTAAAAGTTTCAAAATTTTCTCTAATAAACTGGAACATCTACAATATATACTCTGTTGAACATTATGTACAGGTTAACATCATGTGCAATTCATTACCTAATTTATATTCACTGGATAATGGAATTTACAATTTTTACCAGAAAAATAGCTCCAGGATTTTTTTCCTCTGAAGATGTTTTTTTTTTACATGTGCGAGGTAGGGGGAATAATTTCAAATTCACCAAGATACTTCATCCAATGGCTTCCAAGTTTTGTTTTGTTTTTCTTTTTTCTTTTTCTTTTAAAAATGAAGATAGGCTGGCACTACTCAGGTTAAATCTTTGGCAATGTCCCGGCTGGTAAGTTCTTCATCATTCATCAGTTCTTCATTAGTAAAGGACCATCTCTTAAGGAAAATCAGAAAAGGTGCTTTGGGTTTCCTTATCCCAAACTGAGAAATATGTATTACAACAAATTTGAAATACCTGAGATAGCATTCTCACCAAGTAGGCTTTAACATGGGGAAGTTTGAAGGAGAAATTTCCTTAAAATAAAACTCTGGATAAAAAAGTATTGGGATATAAGAAGAACTGAAGAAAACAACCAGAACACACATAATTCCAAACAAAATCTACAATGCCAATCTAATTAAACAAGTTCCATAGATGCCAGTAAGATTTTAAACCAAAAAATATAGAGAAGTCTCACTATAGTCAGGATGGCTCCAAAGAAACCTTTTGCTGGAAGAATATTAATTCAGCTTGTTTTCCCTAATTTCTTCTTTAACCTTTTTCCTAAAGTCTAAATGATAGTATAGAAGACCCTGACCTGTGTGGGAACATATTATTCTTTGAACAATTCAGTCAAACACTCAGTTTTGGATGCCTGAAAAAATAAAATAAAAACAAATCATGAAATAGTTTGTTGTGCCAAATCAAAATATAAAATGTGTCACACCTCTTCAAGTTCTTTTTTCTCTCTCTAGCATAAGATCCTAAAAAACACAATGTTCACTCATATTCTTATTAGTTGCCAACACAACACCGGCCATTTGACCACAGTTTATTACCAAATACCAAATTATTCAGCATAGTGAAAGCTAAATTCAGAACAAGAAAACAAAATGCTTAGGAAGCTTAAATATCTCTTATGAAAGATTAGAACATTTGGTTCTCTTAACATAGAATATTGTAGACTTGGTTAAGATATATGACATCATAGATAGTATGAAGACAGTGAACAGATCTCTCAAATACTAGAAGAAGTGATTCAAGGAAGCTGCTGGGAAAATTTAAAAGAGATGTTTTACATTGTTCTCCGTACAGAATATAATTAATCTGTGGTGATGGGTATTAATTTGGATAACTTTAAACAGGATTGCCTAAATTCACAGAATGCAGGTCTATCATCCTGAAGTATATTATACTTGGAATGCGGCAAATGCCTGCTACGTGGCAACAATGTTAAAATGTAAGAGCTACTTTCTGTGATTTTCTTCAATTTCCTTTTAAAGCTAACAATATTAATGGTCAATGCCTCAAGTTTATTATACCTGTATACACCTGATTGGCTCCTATGAGAAACAAAGTGCTGAATTTATGCAGATTTTGGCCCAATGAAGCAAGGCTATTCATGGGCTTTAATGCTGATTTTAAAAAAGATTGCTCAGTGGAACATTTGAGAAGACCTAATGCCTAATTACAGAGATTTAGATGTTGAAAAGTGACTGCATATATATCTTTGTGTTATGCATTTATAGTTGAATCATCCAGAAAATAAACAAATATCACAAGTGCAGTAGTTCTCTATTAATGAAATTGGCATTTCCTTTGCTAAATGATGCAGTTATAAAGCATGACATTATGTGACCACATTGCTTAGGGGTGGTAATTCTGGCACTTTCAACTGCTGTTGTTAAGCAAGGATCACCAGTCATTTAGTAGGTGTCTCCTGGCAACTTCCTATTGGCTTCCAACAAGCAAAATCAGTGGGAAGCTGGTCGGAAATTAAAAAACCCAGCCTGCTCACAAGCAGGCTGGTAGGCAGGTAAGTGGCTGCTGTTGGCTTCTGTAGGGTGTGAGAGTGGCCAAGTGGCACAGTGCAAACATAGTGAAACTTGGGGTCGCTGCTGCAGGTGTAAGGTGTGGCAGAGTCCAGTGTGTCACATGTGGGTGGAGATAGCGTTGGTTGCTGCAGGGTGCAAGATGGTACATGCAGGGCAGAATACATGAAAGTGCACATGGGCCAGTGAGGCAAGAGGCTAAAGATGACTGCTACAGTGTAGAGGAGACTTATCCAAATGATTTGCAACTTCTTTGCTAGCTTCCCCATTGACTTTGGTTGTGGGAAGCTAGCAGGGAAGGTTTCCGATGGCAATCACATGTCTGTGGAAAGCTATGAGAACAAACTCAGTGCAACCATATAACTGTAAGCCAGTTGCCAAGCACCTAGATCTTTACCATCTGAGGAAATTTGGGATGGTTGGAACTTTGAGTGCCAGTCATAAGTACCACACTTTCAGCACTGTCGTAACTTCGAACTATTACTGAAAAAGTGGTCATTAAAGCAAGGACTACTTGTATTTGTGTTTTGTCATTCAGATTGACACTTTAGGTAAATATGTTTTGCAATTTCATATGACAAAACATATATGAAATTCAAAACTCGATAATGACTAAAAAGAAACAATGCAGTGTGATTGTGGTTATTTTTAAGGAAATGTTTAAATCTGATTTCTTTTCAGGAAAGAACTGTAACAATTAGAAGACAAACTGTAGGAGGATTTGGATTAAGTATAAAGGTAGTACGATATTCTTCCTATTGCTATATATGTGTGTGTCTATGTCAGTGTGTATTGAGCATGAATCTTATATTTTAGGGAATATGTTTAATAAGATCAATGGGTTGCCATGTATTGTATTCTTCTTTGTCCATTCAACGTACCACAAAAGCTTTTATTATAGGTTTACAATACTGTAGATAGTCACTCAAACTGTGGTCTTAAATAGCACTTAAAATGAGTATTAATAAAAGCTGAGTTAAAATAGCTGTCACATTACAACCAATGAATATATCTACAATTCTGCATTCTTCCAAACTTGCTTGTTAATGAAACTGAAAATGTTTATTTATTTATTAGAATTTGTCAAACAAAAATGAGAACAAGAACAATAGGCACATTAGGGCATTTATACACACACACACCGTCTACTGACCAGTTAAGTATGAAGTAAGGTCCACGGAATGGGGACGTCCTTATTCTATTATTCTATTAAAAAGTATGTTATAGAATAGAGTGCTGCCCAAAATTGCATTTTACTGTCCTTTCGTCAGTGAGAGATAAATATAAATCATGAATGTAATCTCCCCTGAAATAATTGCATAAACCCCGAAGTAGAAAATGTATTAATAGTTTGTTCTCTAATGCGTTTGATATTCATCTTTCTTTACTAAACGTCTCAGTCAAAACATCAGTATTTATGAAAGTTTTTAGCAAATTAGGATGAGTGCTTTTACCATCAGAGTTCCAGTTCAAATGGTAATAATAGGCTACACTGTACAGATGACAACACTTTAAGCATGAAGGTTGTATCTTCATTTATACCATTACTACAATCACAAGTAGGGAGGAGCTGTTTTCAGATCTTTTCATGTCACATTGAATCGACAAAAACAACGACTGAATGGGCTTATCTCATTAGCTTCTCCCTTCTTCTTCTCCTCAAGATTCCGAATCACTTTGCCCAACCCCCAGAGATGCATTATCTTCTTCCTGGCTTCAGAGTTACCTCAGTGACTCCTTCTCTGAAGGCCTCCATCAAAATCTATCTTTTTAAAATTTAGAAACTGTTCATTTATTGCTGTCTCGATTGTTGCTTTGAGCTTCCGCTTAACTCACACTATCATTTTAAGATTCTATGTTATCAAAATTGGTTCAATCAAACTATGCCAGCACTTCTAAATATGTTTTTCTAAAGTGGTAAATAGTGTTCATTTTCAGAGCTATCTCTAACATAAAGTAATTCCCATGAATATTGATTGTAGGTTTGATTATATATTGCATGCAATGCACACAGAATAGTTTTATTTTTATACATTAAAAAAATCTCAAAAAGCCAATAAATATTTAGATAAAACATTTTTTTAAATAACTCCAAAGGTTCTGATGCTTGAATAGTGAATATTGGTATAGAAAAGCCAAGTAGGACTGTTTAAAAAATAACTTATACTTTCAATGCCTTTTTCCTTCTTTCCTTCCTGGCAAAATGAACCAATGGACTGTTGTAGAAAAATATAGAAAAATGTGCCTCCAATTTATTGTGCTTTCCATTTCTTTTTTACTCCTCAATGTGAAATAGTCATTTGTTAACTATCTTTGAATTTTTGTTTTATTTTGTACCAGATTTTCTATTCATTTTCTTACTGACTTTTGGGCATATAAGAATGAAAAATCAAAAATCAAAAGAAACCAGGGAAAACTTTACATTCCATTCAATTATATGCTTTTGTTTGTATTTTCCTTACCAGCCGGACAAGCAAATGCTCACAGCACCATCCCTGTTTCAGAATTAGTCCATTTGCTTTTTATGAAGTGGATTTGATGCCATAATATGAGAAATCTGGGAAAACCTGCAATGAATTTGTATTTCTTTGTCAATATTTTCTTCTTTTTTGTGTATGCAGAATATCATGATACAGTATTGCTAGCAATTTTTTCCTCTTTTACAAAAGGGCTGATTGCATTCATGTGGTCATTAGCAAAAAGAATGATGAAACTGTTATTCTCCCATGAGCTGCTCAGAGCATCTAGTAGTGGGAGGTGCTTCAGTCTCTGCTTATCTAGGCTGGGCTTAATTTGCGGAATGCTCCTCCTCTTCCATGGGCCTCCTCCCCAGTGTTCCCCAGTTTTGGCCCAGCCTCGTGAGAGATAGGCAGTGCTTCTCGTTAATCCTTGGCCGAAACAGGAGAATTCTCTTTAAGGTTTGCAGATAGTCAATTGTTCCTTTCTTACCAACGCTGCCCTTGCCATCTGGCCGTTGGGGATCGTATTACCAGAAAGCGCTCCTAAGCGCAGGGAGGCTTCAATTTCATTTTGCCCCCCCAACCGCTAGCCCTACCCTTGCCATTACGATCGCCGAGTCGCTTTATCATTTAAATGGCAAGGCTTTTTTTCTCTCACTCTTTTCTGAGTCGTATCGCAGTTTCTCCTTTCCCCCAAGAACGCTGTTTAGGGGTGGAGGTGTAATTGCCTCGTTATTTCACCCCTCCCCGCCAGTTTAGCCCTAAGGGAAGGCTGTTGGAGCTTATCTCTTTTTCTTGGTGGGAGATTGCTGCTGGCGCATGCACCACAAATAACGTCCGGTCGCCATTTTGTTTTGTTTTTTACTGTCAAGGGACCGCATGGCCGCGTTGAGTGCTAATTCAATAGACTGTGTGAGGTAATCCTTATTCCAGATTGAAGGGGTTTTTCACACAAAATACCCCAGGAATCATTACAACCTTGTTTTCAACATATTTGAGGCTTTTGTTAATTCATGTTGTTGGCTCAACCCTCACAGTTCTCCCTATCCAGCGGCATAACAGCGAGCACCTAGGCCAGCGTCCGCCTGTGCAGGAAAGCTGTTGAAGACCAGCGATCCGGCCAAAGCAACTCCAAATACAAGGTCAAAGTTCCATCACAGGTCCTCATATCTCTCCTCTGGTGGACCAGACCAGCCATAAACAAAGGTTGCCTATTCAAAGAGCCCCACAGACTTATCATCACCACCAATGCCAGCCTGATTGGATGGGGAGCTCACTTTCAATTGCTCACAGCCCAAGGCCACTGGTCCTCCATAGAACGATTGAGCAGCATAAACTGGCTGGAGCTTCGAGCAGTACACCTGGCTCTCCACAGCTTCCTTCCACAGGTACGCAACCAACACATTAATATTGACCGACAACGCAACCATGAAAGCTCACATAAACAAACGGGGGAACTCAGTTGAAACACCTCATGCGAAAAGCGGAGCATTTGTGTCATTGGGCAGAGAGCAACCTGATTTCCATCAGAGCAGAACACATTTCAGGACTGTCGAATACACAGGCAGATTGGCTAAGCAGGGCCACAATAGATCCATCGAAGTGGCGCCTCCATCTGACCCTCTTTCAAGAGGCGGTCAGAACATTTGGGCAGCCAGTAGTAGACCTGTTCACTTCCCCCCTCCATGCTCAGCTCCCGAGATTTCTTTCCAGATACTCCTCACAAGGAGCGGAGAATTTCAATGCGCTCCATTGTCATTGGCCCCTGGGGCTTCTGTACGCATTCCTGCCACTTCCACTGATCCCCAAGGTCATCCAGAAGCTGCTCGACAAGAGGGCGGAACTGCTTCTGGTAGCTCCCTACTGACCCAGACGGTTGTGGTTTGCAGACCTTCGCAGTCTATCTGTAGACAGTTCACTGTTATCCCACTTGGGATCTTAACAAGGTCCTTCTTGCACTCACTAAGTGCCCTTTTGAGCCTTTGCAATCGTCAAGTCTCCAATTTCTGATGTATAAAGTAGTTTTTCTTGTAGCAATCACTTCCGCTCGTATTTCAGAACTGGCAGCCTTGTTGATCAGACAAGATCTTTGCGTCTTCCATTCCAACAGGGTCGTCCTTCGTCCCAATCCTACGTTCATACCCAAAGTTAATTCAGCCTTTCACAGGGCACAAGAACTGATACTTCCTAATTTTTGTCCCAGGCCATCCCAAGGGCTGGAACGACAATGGCATCGGCTGGACGTGAGGCGAGCGTTACGAATATATATTCTTTTAGAAAAATGGAGGCTTTATTTGTGTCTTTTCAGCCCAACAATCAGGGATGCAAGGTCTCATCCTCCACAATAGGCCGTTGGCTATGGGTGGCAATGGCGAAAACGTATCAGACTCATACATAACAGCTCATTCAACAAGGAGCGCCGCAACATCGGCAGCATGGGCCACACAGGCACCAATCACTGACATCTGTCGTGCCACAACCTGGGCCTCTCCATCGCCTTTCATTAGGCATTATAAAATAGATGTGTTTGCATAAGCGGAGGCCTCCTTTGGCAGAAGGGTTCTGCAACGGGTCCACGGGGACCAGGAAGGGATCCCAAGACAGACGGAGTCCCTCCTGTAGGACAGACCAAGCTTTGGTATGTCCCACTACTGGATGCTCTGAGCGACTCGTGGGAGACAGGGCGTTGGTGCTTACCTGACATGCCCATTCTCCTTGAGCTGTGAAGAGCATCCAGCCCCACCCTCTTCCATCTGGTGGGATCCTGTTTCAGCCAACGAATGTTTACAGTATTAAGGGCGAAGGTGTTTGTTTCTCTCATCTTCGCCAAAACTGGGGAACGCTGGGGAGGAGTCCCGTGGAGGAGGAGGAGCGTTCCGCAAATTAAGCCCAGCCTAGATAACCAGAGACTGAATCTCCTCCCACTACTGGATGCTCTTCGCAGCTCAAGAATGGGCGTGTCAGGTAAGCACCCACGCCCTTTTTACTCATTTCAAATATCCAAAAAAGAAGCTAAAGCTAAAGAAATGTAATAGAGTATTTATAAGTTAACAGTAGACTCAATGAAGTATGATCTCTTTATTTAGGGAGGAGCAGAACATAATATTCCTGTGGTTGTTTCCAAAATTTCCAAAGAACAACGAAGTAAGTTGTTACTTAGTTTCTTTAATAAAATTAACTACCAGTATGTCTTTCTTTCTTCTTTATTCCTGATTCAGAGTCTGTTTTTTGGGAGAGAGAATTTCATTATAAATGTGACCACAATATTTTCAATGTTTACTACTCACCAAGTGACTCAGAATACTAAGAAGGACTAAAAGCAGTAGAATTAAAAACAACAATATAACATAGACCAATCAAGAGCAAAACATGAACTTCATAAACTTAAACTGCATCTATATATAATATGCTGATCCAGCTCCTGGAAATGAACTAGATGAACACCTGTATCCCATCATATCAGACATTGTTTAATTGCTTGGATGTGGGGCATCTGAAGTCTTTGCAGATTAATAGGTTGGACAGAGATAACTGGAGACAGCCTGCTTTTTATTCTCTGTGAAGCTTTTTTTAGTTTGTGAACATATATGATGAGGGTTTTTTGGGGGGATTTTAGGGAAATCAGTTAAGACACTCTGTTTGGGTATGGGACAAACTTGCTGTTTATTTTTCAATTATTTTTCATTGTTTTGTTTATATATATATATATTGCCCCACTGATGCTGCCAGTGGAAAATTATAGAGAAGACTGAAATGAAAAATATCCTTCCTTCCTTCCTTCACTCCCTCCCTCCCTTCTTTCTTTCAGCGGAACTCTCAGGCCTACTGTTCATAGGTGATGCAATTCTACAGGTAGGTAAACAAGTTGTCTGTTAGTCAAATTTTATTTATTTGTTCTTCCTGCCTGCAGAGTAGAAGGCCCTTTCCTCAAATTATTATTTCTTCCTCAACAGATTAATGGAATTAATGTAAGAAAATGCAGGCATGAAGAAGTGGTGAGCTTTTATAATTTTTTCTAACCCAATACAATTTCTAATGTAAATTGAAGCTGCTGCACTTTTATTAATTGTTTGTTATGTTCCTACATAATTTAACTCTGTTTTACTCTCAGGTTGTTAAATGATTATAATATTTGGATAGTGTACCTTCTTCATTGATGTGACACTCATATTATATTAAGATTTTGCCATCCAATTTTTTTCTAGAGATATTTTGTAGGCACAAAGTTGTGGGAAAACACTGACTTCCCAATGTATTCTCCACCATTAAAAAATAGAAATGAAAATCTTTTATTGAGCATATTTTATTTTCAATCCTCTAGGAAGAGGAAAAATGGCGTTTTTCTGTCACCTGTAACATTTGAGACTACTTGCCTAGTTTGAGAATCTCTCTATGTAGGCTTGGAATATTGTAAGACTAGTCTCTTTCTCATATAGGTCTCACTTTAATAAGACAAATGAAGTGTCACTTACAGGACAGCAATTTATTTTGAAGGATTTTTTAGAAGTTATCTTAAACCTTCAGGCGTTACAAGGACATTAAAAATCTTTCCTCATGCTTTATCTTCAGAACATACAATAGACAAGATAAAAGGTCAGAGAGACAAGACAAAATCAAGAATACACAGTTTTCATTAAGTTATTACAGATATAAAATCACAAGTTTGATGTGAAGATTTTATTTTTGCACCTCATTATAACTATTATTTGAACTAAAAGTAAAGTTCTCATTTGCGATAATAGGAATGTAAATAGCTGGTATGGAAATCCAGCTCTGGTCCAGATTGCTACCATAATGGGAGATAAAATGTTAAAGTCTCTCTTATCCCACCAAACTACTGATTCAGGTCAGATTACTTCTTGTTAAGGTTTTATTGCCTACTTGGCTCTATTTTAGCTAGCTATCTTTAAAAAATAGGGTGGATATAACCAAGGAAATTAAGAATGTATTCAGAAGCTCCAAAGTGAGAATCAGTCAAGTTGAGAAACTCAGGTTTGAAATTCTTGAGCTGATTTTAAATTTTCCTGAATCCATTGAAAAAAAATTATTATTATTTTCCTCTGTTCTAATATACATTTATCTAAATTCTTAGGAAGAAAACAGTTTGGTATAAGAATATACGCAAGTATGAACATACAAACAAACAAACAAACACACACACACGGATATATGTTATTTGAGTACAAAGTCAATTCTTCAGTTCTATTAACTCACCCTTCTTTTATCACATATAGAATACCATGAAGTCATCTACCATATAGTACAAATGGACTGTATCCTGTAGATGCTTGGGATACTTCTCTATAGACAAATATTATACAGTAGCCAAGTGTCCTAGGATTTAGGATTTTGTCCAGCAAATTTCTTCAGCATTTATTTTGATGTCTGATTCATTTGTTCAGTAAAACCATTATTTGATGATGATATACAGTACTGTAGGGAATAATCTTTTAAAACAAACATATACACCCTAAAACTTTCATATTTTTTAAAAAATTACAGGGATACATTTATTTTGTTTCCACTGCTTTGAATATATTACTCCAGATAGTCTTCAACTTATCCCTGAATTTTTTTAAGTTTTAAGTCATTGAAATTATAGGTCAAGCATCCCATGATAAGAGCTGATTTTTGACATTTTTTTTGCAGAAGTTATTAAGCAAATGCCATGGTTGTTAAACAAATCCATTTTGTCCAGTGGGAGTTTTTTGCTGGAAACTAGAAATAAATGACAGAAATTGGCAAAACAATGTCAAAAATTGCAGTCATGCAACTGTGGAATGCTGAAAATGGCCATAAAGGTGACCTGATTGCCATGCATCCAAAATGCAATCACATGACCTCTGTTGTGGGGTAGGGGTGCAAACATTATAACTTCAAAATCCAGCCATAAGTAGCTTTTTTGGGGGGTCTGTTGTAACTCTGAATGTTTGTTTAGCAACTATTGTAGGTTGAAGACTACCTGTATCTTAGAACAGCAATATGAAAATCATTAAATAATATCTTTCTTCTTGTATAAGTCAAACAATATGTAACTTAATAAACATGATAGAGACAAATAATTATAGGTTATGGTGCCTTTTCCCATGTTAATTTTTTAAAATAGAATTTGTAAGAATTTCAGAGAATTCTAGTTTAGGAATCTAAATAAGAGTATGTGGGAAGAAAATAAAGATCTAATTGTAAAGCAGTTTGATGGCTTACAGATTTTGATATTCCCCAAGGAATGTAATTTTATTCTCCGTCTGCTTTAATTTTCCTAATTAATAAAACTTTGACTCTATTAGTATGTATCTGTTAAATGATAGCTGTTGGATATGAGAACGAGATACTGTTTTCATCAAATCTTTTAAACTGAACATATTCTTCATGGTGATTTTTTAAATTGATATTACATTATAGTTTTCTTTCAGTACTAGCTATAAACTTGTCAAATATCTCATTTCAATAATTTCAAAATCCCTGATGGATTTTTGTAATAGAACAATCCATTTTTATTTAGTTGGCAATAGCTATTTTTAAAGCCAGCATAGTTTGAAAGACTTTAGGGACTATCCCATAGTTTTAAATATTAGGTTTTAAAATATTAGGCTTTACCACCATGTAAAGTATATTTTTATATCCAGCAAAGCTTCAGTCTATTTCCTTTCACATTATTCCCCACGTCCTCAATAAAATTAAAGTTAACCTTAAGGTGAAGATTGTTTAGCCTGGGAGAAAGCCATGAGAAGACCAATTGAAAACCTCGCAAAATATATCTTTTCCAATCTTCAAGGCTCCATTTATAGTTTACATTTTAAAATGCCATAGTTTACATTTTAAAATGCCAAAACCATATCATTGCTGAAGGCTAAAACATGTGAAGAACAATTGCAGGAATTGGGTATGCCTAATTTGATGAAAAGAAGGACTAGGTGACATGATAGCAATGTTCCAATACCTAAAGGGCTGCCACAAAGAAGATGTGGTCAACCTATTCTCCAAGCACTTGAAAGGAAAAACAAGAAGCAATGGACGTAAACTAATCAAGGAGAGAAGCAATTAAGGAGAAATTTCCTGACAGAATAATTAATTGGTGGAATGACTTGCCTCCAGAAGTTGTAGGTGCTCTAACACTGGAGGTTTTTAAGAAGAGATTGGACAACCATTTGTCTGAAATGGTATAGAGTGTCTTGCCTGAACATGGGGTTTGTCTAGACTCTAGGAGACTTCCAAGATCCCTTCCAAATCTGATTTTCTATTGTTCTGTTATGTCTACATATATTTTTCTAAAGCTTCTCTTTGATAACAGTAAGAAGCAAGCTTGGATTTAGAGTCCTCTGAGATGATACCCTATTCAAAGTAGCATAAATAAATTCTGTTTTTAAAGTAAGCTTATTATAAAGAAGTGGAGGAAATAGCATATGTTGACAGATGACTTCTTAACTATTTGGATTCATTTTCAAATCTTGCCTAAGTTTTCAGAAAGTTCTGAAAGCCTTTGTTCAGGTCAGTTAAAAGAGCATAATGTGATTCTGTTTTGAGATATCTTAGTTCAGTTCTGGAATAAAGCATCAATTTCTTTCACTACAACTGTCATACAGAATCATCATGTCAAAAATAAGAAAGGCTTTGCTTGTTCTACAGAGACAGGATTCACCCACACCTTCATGAAAAGCTTCTTGTAGCTTTCATCATGGCTGTACTTTTTCCTAATGAATATGGCAAATGCATGGAGTCTCCAACTGACCAAGCAGCATCAACTTTGTGCTTATGTTTCATTTAGCTAAAGATCTATTTTTTAAAAATAGCATTGCTTTTTTTTTTTTAAAAAAAGAGGGGGTCATGGGAACTTTTAGAAGAATATAAAGATGCTTTAATTGTTTAGCATTTATGTCAACTGTGATTTGAAAGAGTTTGACCAGTTATCATCTGAAACTGATGTGAAAAGAACTATAATTGTCATTTCATAGTATTAGCAGCATTCTGTTTTTCTGGTGACCTACATTTTTTTTGCTGCACTTAGATATTGGTTTAGGTTTATTATGTAGTAATTTTAATTTTAGGTAGGGCAGGGTATACAATGGGATGAAAAAACTAATTTCCCACTGTCCATTTTGGTCATAAGTCGAGGACTACCTATACTTCAATCTATATGTCAAATAAAACTATGATATAAATGTATAAGTTTACAAAGTAAAATAATTTCTTTAGAAATAAGCAATAGGATACCATTTAAAGTCATATATTTAATCAGAAGTATAAACCTGGTTACTTTTATGAAATTCCTAAAATTTACTTTCACTTTGAAGATTATAATAAATTATAGTATATTATAGTAAATCAGGGAAAATGTTATTTGTTTGGCTTAAATAATCTTCTGTTAAAATGCTGCAACTTGCAGAACAATGGTAGAATGCAAATTGCTTGTAACCTCTCTTAGCATAGTAAAATAATCAACACAGACTATTTTCTTTCCATGTGCTCTTTCTTTTCCATCTGTTGTAATTTTTTCTGGGCAATGAATGTCAGGTCAGATAGTTAGAGCTTTTCATAAAAGTCTCATGCCCTTCAGGCATGATTGTTCTTTCTTTAAGAGAAAAAAAATTGGTTTTCTAGAAAACAAAAGCAAAAACAACACTTGGGTTTCATATACAGTTTTGGAAATATGGAATGTTTTACATTTATACTTTCTCAATCAAACTGCTGAAAAACACAGGTAAAGAAGGCATTTCCTGGGTCTCCTTGCAAGAGATTATGATCCATATTTTGGGAAATGTTATGTTACAGTATTGTTGTATTCTTTCACTTTGATTTTTCTGTTGGTTTTTTTATATATATTTAATCAGCAGAGTAAATAGGTTTGTGTGTTTTTCAGTACCTTTTCTTGTTTCAATCTGAGTTCCACATCGTTGCCTTGTTTTTAATTTTTGTATCAAACTAATACATAGCTTCCTTCTGATAAGCCATCTGTTACTTCTCTAATACAAGGCTAACATAACATAGTTCTGTCATTTTGATGCTTGTTTGCCAACAATAAGTTAATCATCTCACACTGGAAACCCATATGAATATTAAATGATTTGTCATAACAGTTACTTATAAACTACTATAGTAATGGTTACATCAAGAACGTACAGTGTGTGGTTATTCTACCTTGAAAAATTAGCTAAATACAGAGAACTTTGTTATGAATTATAGCTTGATATGTAAAAGGAATTATTTAAATTAATCCAAGTCTCATAAAAGGAAAATGGCTGTTTTTCATAAAATGATGACAAAGCACATTAAAACAATATATTGCATAATGAAAGCTTTACATAAAAGAGAGACAGTTTGGTCTAGTGGTTATGGCACCAGTGGGAGACTGTGAATTAGTCCAACTGGATGACCTTGGGCCAGTCACTTACTTTCAGCACAATTCATCTCATAAGGTTGTTGTTTTGAGGAAAATAGGAGGAGAAAGATGTGTTTGATGTGTTCACCAAACACATTTTTTATTTGTAAAAAATAATAAAGACATGATAAAAAAATCTAAATAAATAAAGAATAAGGCTTCACAAAACCATTCAGAATGTTGCTTTGTTCTCTTTACAGAATAGCGCGCGCACACACACATACACACAGACACACTTGAACATCACTGCAAAATGTAAAGTTAGTTAAAAGTACTGCATTGTAAACTGTTCAGAGTTGCTTGGGATAGCATCGTGGGCAGCAAATAAATATAATATTAAATAAAGTTATAGATGGTTCCAATTGGTTTTGAAAGATAGCATTGGTTTTTTTTTACATATTCTGTTTCAACATGAAATATGTTTATATCAATGAGTATTTTCACATTTTTTTTCAATGAAAACAATCCTGAATATGTGTTTACATATTTAGGATTTACATAGAATTTATACAATTAGGTTTACCTGGGCATTTGTAAGATTTCCTTTTATAGTTAATGGCTATCTTTTATAGACTAATGACTATTCTGATAAAAAATTTAAATAGATAACTCTTCTGAGATGCTAGACTTCAGATACACCTATTTCCTGAGACTTCAGTTCCTAAACCTGGATTCTGACCATGCTTGCTGAAGAATTTTGGAACTTCTCTCATAATGCATGCAAAGAGTATCAATGCAGTCTATGGAATCATTTGTCGATTATTGCAATGGCATTTCAAATATCATGCTAGCAATTTTTATACTATTGAAACCGTAGATTCTTCTCTAGGGGAAAATGATAGCTAAAATGATTCTATCTATAAAAAACATGCCTCCAATAGAAATCATAGCTTGAATATTATTTAAGTGCTGTCAAGGGTATCTTTTACTAAGATTATTTTCTAATTAGGAATATGATATACTGCACATACAAAAGAAAAGTGATTCTTCTTTCAGATAAATAGAACAGATTGATTGAAAGATGACATTGTAAGTTTCACTCTAAAGGTACAAGTTAATAGAAAGTATTTCAACAAGTTGCTTTTCCTTGATATGCATTAAATGTTTTAAACTGCAGTTCAGTTCATCTTTAATGTTTTGCCTAATTGAAATGAAGCTAAAAATACATTTATGACATTCAATGTGTTGCTGATATAACATCTTAAAATGTGCAAATATATATATGAGAGCAAGCAAAATCTACTTTCAAGAGGTTTATCATCCATGCACCACAAATACAGCACAATTATTCATCTGTATATGAAAGGCTATCATTATGTGGATGGATTTAAGTAATCAGAAAAGCAAATTTCACATGGTTTGCAAGTGATAGAATAATTTTTTACTGCAGTACAAAAGTATCTTTCTCAACAGATTCTGAAGGAAAACGGCCTCCAATATGAACCAAGATAGCTTCAAATATTTATCAGAAACATTACTTCAGAAACAGTTCTGTCAAAGCATTTGGGTTTATGCCATTGTCAAGTTCTGAAGAACTAAGCTGGGGATGAGGGGAAAATTCATTGATATTCTAAAAGGTTTTTGTTTTACCAATTAAGTTCTCAATAATAACTTTTTGAATTTGCAAAACTAAATTACAAGATTAATATAGGAAGTGGCTTATAAATAAAGCTGACTAATATATGTTAATCCAAACAATCCTATTTTGAGAACAGTGATAACCAATATTTCACGGTGTTATAACTGCTGAAACACATGGTTGACACCTTTATTAAATATTTTAAATGTATTCATATTCATCCCAGCGTCCAAAGAATGAGAAAACTATTTCCAATAGTTTAAGAGAAGCTTTATAACTAGGATATCTATTCTATGTAGGCAATCCCGGATAGGCTTTATCTATCTTATTCTGGATAAATTATCTGGTGGAAAGTATGTTAGTAATTTTTTGCTTCTTTTATCTGATCAGGGTCCATATATATTCTCCTGAATTTTTCAATGTCATGTTTCTATACGTACCATCCAAATTTTCTTGTGATTGAGGAAGTGTGTATATGTGTTTGTGTATATTCTATGAGAACTGCCATGGTGATTTCTCACTTATGGCCAAGATAGGGATGTATTGCACCTTGTCTGTGAGCTGAGGAAAAATCTGTATAGTGTGGTTGTTTGTGAAAGTGCCAGTTATTGGTTTCTTTGACCTAGAAACTGCAAGCACTGATATCAAAGGAGCAAGTAAAAAATTAACCTGGGATAGTTATAACTCAACGTCAGCTTCAAAACAGGCAGAGTAAACTTATTGAAAGGAGACATTGAAATGCAAAGATTATTTATGAAACTAGGGAGCGCATTTAAGTTCATTCTAAAGGCTCCTTGAGACCCTGTATTTCCAGTTTATGACAAAATAAGGAAAAGTTGCTATCTTGTCCATGGTTATCTGGAAAGATGCATGTGTGTGTGTGGACAATATATATTTAATTTAAATACTAACTGTTTAACACACACACACATGTACAGTATACATATATATGTGTGTATGTACACACAGACGTGTATATGTATATATGTATAGATACATTATTTAAATTTGAAAAATCTTCAAAGTTCATAACTTTCTTTTTATTTTTTATTTTCAATTCTAAGTTCATTTCTTAAGTTACTCAATGGAATGCTGTATTGTATTGCTAATTAATCTTGATCTCCCTCCCCCCCCCCCGGTGTGGTAGTATATATAGTATAACTAACAGTATTTTGCTTTTTGTCATGGACAGTCAGCTGCAACAGTTATTTCATTCATAATAATCAATGATTCATATGTGTTTAATTTACTGCTTCTCAAAAAAAAAAAAAAAAAAAATACAAGGGAAAAATGCTATTAAATAGTTTGTGTAGGCAGTAACTACCTAGATCACAGATTGCTTTCTTTGCTTTAATGTGATGTGTATTGCAAAACATACAAATTGTGAACTTAATTAACTGAACAAAATTTGGCCTTTAAACTGTTATTTATGAGGGGGAGGAGCTAAACTAGATAAAATTGTTAATGATTAATTGTTAATGCACTTCTCCTTTTATATTTTATAAGAGATATATGTACCTATTTCCAAAATGTATTCTTGTTGGTTGAGACTGTGGAGATATATATTAAACTTCTTGTAGCAGAGTTTAAATGTTGTAAAATATATGATAAAAATAATTATTAATACAAATACAAAGCAGCAATGGAAAAGTTGTATCCTAGTTTTAAAGAAAAGTAGCAATTAACTCATAAGTAAATCATGTCCAGTTGATTTGTCTTTCCTTAAAAGCTGCCGTGAGGCAATTTAGGAGATTGTCTTTTCACTAAGTCCCTTCCATTCAAACAGCAGAAATTCATGGTGTGTTACTAGTCCAAGGTGGTTAGATATGCAAATATCTGAGATAGAGGACTTGACTTGATCACAAAGGAATGTGGCAGCTGCAAATTGTAGTATTCATGCTAAGACAGCTACTCTCCATGGTGCACATGGAAAATATCGCCATTGTCTCACAAAACACAAAATAAGATTAAATGACCTAAAAGGATTTGTGCAAATTATGCAATCAGCAGAAAAGAAGAAAACAATGTTAAACAATGAAAGGTCAGGCCTAAAGTAAAACAGAAGAGTGACAGAAGAGGGAGAACATTAATAAGAGCTATAAATACAGGCTCTGAAATGGTCTTAGGAATATGGCAGTGAACTGATTTACTATGGGACACAGATTTTGCAGGTGATTCACATTAATCTATGGTGGAAAAAAAAAAAGAAAAACCAGAAGAAATTTGATAGCATCTTTTCTAACATATTTTAATAAAATATGTTTTTATGAGCTGCAGATTACTACATCAAAAGTACAATGGCTAGACTTATGTAGGATTCAAATTACAGTGGGTGAGGAGAAAAGGAAAGTGAGGATAGGTTGGATATGTCTAAAGATAGCAAAGATGTTATTCAGTCTTACTTTACAGTTTTTTTCAGTTAAATAAGCAAGCAAGAAAAGCTAAATCCCAATATTGTGCCAAGAAGGATGTTATTTCAGTTCTTTTCATTTATTCCTTAGGTCCAAGTTCTTCGGAATGCTGGAGAAGAGGTAACCCTAACTGTGTCCTTTCTCAAAAGAGCGCCTGCATTTCTGAAACTGCCTCTTAATGAAGATTGTGCATGTAAGTATAAAAAGGTTTTGAAACAAGTATCTGCTATTCTTAAGAGTCCCTGTTTGCCATCCTACTTTAAAGGCTGATCTCAATAGTCATTGTACTTGTCAGTTGTTCCAGTAGAAAATTTATTACCCTTTTTTTGGAAAAGCAGGACAAACAAACAATTAATAAAATGATCCTGTCTCTGGCCTTCTTTTGCTAGATTTGACATCTATGCAGTCACAGCTATTCTCAGTAGATCTTTTTTCTCTCGTGAAATATTTCAGAAGGAACTTTTCTCTGTCACCTATATTTATTATAACATGAAATGCAATCTTTGCTTGAAAAGTATGATGTCTTCTCATGTGATTAAAACTTGCTGTGAAGATGGTTAGATCATTTGTTTACAGTTCTTGCATTTTTTTATGCAATAGCTGCGGTGGCACAGTGAGAGCCCTGAGCTGCTCAGAGGTTGGTGAAATGAGGACCCAGATTGTTGGGTTACAAACAATTTAGAGAATTCTGTAAAGCACTATGGAAACAGTATATATGTCTAAGTGCTATTGCTATATTTTAGTCAGCACTCATAGGGAAGTTGAACTGGTTCTTCTCCACTCTGCAAGCAAGGCTATCTTGAAGATTTTTCAATGTGAATAGTTGGGTACTTTAAGAGATAGTTTTATTCAAGTGATTTTTTTCCAGGTTTCTAGTACTCAGCATTTAAGTTCATCTCTCAGACTGAACCAGTAGAAACAAACAACTACAGCATGACTTAAGTCTGTGATTTAGTTGCACATCAACCAAAAAATTAGGACCTGCTGTTATATTGACAAATGCATGCTTCATATTTTCATGCTTGGGAGAAAGATTATAGGATCAGGAAACATTTGAAACAATAGGGTAAAGCAAAATTCCCATTTTATCTTAGACTGGAATAAACTCCAGAATACTGAGTATTTTGTTCCAAACATAACAACACTCCAAACAGCATATCCAAGTTCAGAATCTTGTAAATCCCTATTAGCATATCTGGACATAAGTGGACAGTGGGCTAGAAAAATATTCTTGATACATTAAAAACAGATAAGATGGTTGAAGGCAGTCACTGGAATATCATTTATAGGTAGTACTAAAATTGGTTGATACAGACATTTACCTAAATAATCTCCCAGTAGAACCTAATTAATTAACCAATTAGCATATATTAAATTGTGTTTAAGCTTAATTATGTTTGCTCATACAAGCCAACTTTATAGCCTGCTAGACAACCCATGACCTTTTGGGTCATTGTTTCAGAAATAAGAAATATAATAGCTAAATAGAATGACCAAGGGCAAAAAACCCAATGGGACTGGGAACAACTTCTGACTTCCTGAAAGTTTGACCATGACTGACATCCCTCTGGCACTTATGGAGGGTCTTGTCTACCTGATTTCCAGTGGCCAAATATAGAGCAGGATCAATCTATTGAACCTCTGGGCATTGGTGTGACAGCATAGCAATACTGACACTGTAAAATTTGCCAAATTTCAATGGGAATCACAGGTCCTGGATATTGGAAGCATTTGGAAATACCATGGTTCAAAAATTGTTACCCTGTAATGTGCTGTTTGTTCCAGCTAAAAGTTACAGTCATAAGAGTTCCTGTAGTATATATATGTCTTGGGTTGTTTGAAGTTGGGTTGTTTGAAGTTGGCAAATACCAGCAAAACCTAGTTAAAATTAACCATATTTTGCTTGAGTATCAAACTGAAGCTAGCATCTTCTCCCAGAATACCAGAACCCTGATACTGAAAGGCAACTCACAAGTTATCTATACTACAGTGACCTTTCCCAGGCTGAGGAAATATTTCTTCAAAGCCAGTCACCATATGCTACTATTGGGCATAATTACAGGTCAGGTTTACTAAACATTCTATCAATAGAACGTATCTGCCCATGTGCCTCTGGAGAAATAGAAACTAGTCAACTTGTACGGTTTCACTGCAAATTTTACAGGAATCTGCATGTGTATTATATATACATAGAAAAAGGCTACACCAGTCTTCATTCAGATTCCAACTATGCTACTACCAATACAGTAGCCAAAGTCTATGTGGCGACAGTGAAAATGTGGCAATATATAGTGCTAATATGATAAATTTTCCACTCTGGACTTATTTTGCTGTCTTATTAATATAAATTAAACTTATTTTATTTTATTTTTCTTGTACAAGTTCTTTTAACATTACTGATCTTTGATCATAACAATAAATTGGATTTTATTTGAAATGCATTTTGTCAGCATATGGACATTGCAGTTAATGATAACTAATCTAAAATGGAATGTCAACATTTCCAAATATTTTCCGGCAAGAGAAGAATGAAATTTAACCCAGCATGTTACTGCTGGTTATTCTTACATACTAAATCATAATTTGCTGCTCTTTACAAATAAATCCACTCAGTTTTTATTACATATAACACGATAGTATACCATCAAAGTATGTCTTACATATAAAACAAATAAAGGCTGTCCTCAGAGTACACATATGACCATTTATATAACTACTTCATGCTCTTAATGCATTTTACTTTCCTGAATTGGTTATGTGGGGGGTGGGATTTAGCAGATCAGAGATTTTGCAAGCAGATAAAATACTGGATCTTCTAACATCATATAATTGTAAATTATTTTTTAAAAAAACAATGGTTGAAATGAATATTGCAGTAAGTTATGAGTGTCTTACATGAAATTCTCACATCAAAGATTAGTATCATTACAATACTTTACAACACTCCTCAAAACAAAGAAAATACTCTTCCTTCATCTTTTGCTGACTTCTAACCATGCTAGATAAATGTCAGTTTCGACTAGAAAGTCTTTATAATTCAGACATGTATTTAAATAGATTATATTTTTATTAGGTGTCCCTAGTGATCAAAGTAGTGGCACATCCTCACCTCTGTGTGACAGTGGTTTACATCTTAACTATCATCCCAATAATACGGTAAGAGAATGATTTATGAGACTGTCAAGAACTTGAAAATTTTTTTGATTAAGAAGTATGAACACAATCTAAGAGCGTGTTAACATTTTACTTTACATGAATTGAAACAGAGGTTGGTTAATATATGAATACGATTGGAAATGTTTTTATCCAAGTACTGGAAGTATTAAGTAAAATAGTAAATAATGAGTAGTGTTTTTACTGTTCATTAATATACAATAGGAAAGTCTATAATTTGTAAAGCCAATATAAATAAGTTTCTCCCCTTAACTGTGCTAATTGGTGATGATGGGATCCAGAGGATTATGACTGCAAAAGATATCTTCAATGTTTTTTCTCAAGGTTAATATATGATAGTATTGACTGGCCCAGAGACTCAAAAAACAACAATCAAAATTCTTTTCATCATTATCATTCAGTATATTTCTAAAACAGGCTAGATGGATTCAATCAGGAATATCTTGACTTTTGTTTTCTACAACAATTCACTAATTTCCTGGGGCCTTTGTATTTTTGTCATACTTTATGTGTTTGGGGCCTCAATACATCCTATGTTTTCCCCTTTGAACACCAGAATACATTGATATTAGAGAGTGTGCAAGTGTGTGATGTGTTTCTTTCATGGTGAATACTCAGAATTTTCTTCTTTAAATAAGGAAGGACCTCTGACACTCAGACCTGAATATCATCTCATTCATTGAATCAACTAACTATAATTTTCCCTTCAAATTAACTATAATCCTAGATGTTCTCATGCTTTTGCCACATACAAACATTTAGCTTTGGATCTCATTTGTTTATTGGGTTATCTTTATCTAGTTTTAGGACTTGTTTGGAGGACAAATAATTTTAGGTAATATTTATGTAGAGATATTGAAAATTCAAAAGGATTCATATTCAAAAGAATTCATATAGTTTTAAGCACCACTTTATATAGTTAAGCTTAGAACTGAAAACAAAGTTTTTGATATGCTGAGATTAGGCCCGAATGGGTTTTTGATTCCATTAAAATAGTCAACAACCAATTTATTTATTAATAATGAATGAAATATTGATGGATTGGTTGACTCTTGATGTTGACTCTTTACAGCCATATAGATAGATACCTCCATTGTGTCTCTAACTTTCAGGTCTCCCGATTGTGTACTCAAATCACTACCGCATCTGAGTCCATCTATCTTATTGATTGTTATCTTCTCTTTTTTTTCTACCTTTCTCAGTAATAGATCCTTCTTTTGAGGACTAGATTTTTGCATATGTCAAAAGTAGGATAATTTGAACCTGGTCATTTGTTTCTCAAGTGAGAATTCTAGGATGATTTGTTTGATGATACATTTGTTTGTTTTCTTGACTGTCCACAGTATTCTCAGGAGTCTGCTTGAAAACAGTAAAAATTATTTACTATCAGGGTGTACTTAACAAAATATATTGATATTTCAGATGAGAGGAAAATCTAATGGCCATGCAGGTTGGGAAAGAACAATGAAACAGACTAAATAGTTATTAATTGTAAATGCTTATTATAAAGTAAAATATCAAAGATATTTGACATCTGTTTTCAGGATACTCTTTCATGTTCTTCATGGCCGACATCTTCAGGTATTAGATGGGAAAAAAGATGGTGTGACCTCCGATTAATTCCTCTTCTTCATTCAAGATTTTCTCAGTATCTCCCAGGATCAGATATGTGCAGGTAAGTAGATATCATCTAGTGGTGATGATGGTTGATGATGATGATACATCTGCTATTCTGTGATCTAACTGTTATGAGTGGTTGGTTAATTTGGATTAACAAGTTTTACATTTCCTATTTTTAGGCTGCACATCAAGTAAATTGAATGAATGGGCAAGTTGCAAAATTTCCAATTGGCAAAGTTAAAGACAGTTTGAGATCTGGAAACATGGTCTTCCAATATGGCTACTTAGATCCATTATATTTCTTTAGGCAAAGTGCCAAAAAGACTATTAGCTGAAGACTTTCAATTCATTTTGCTTCAGCAATAAAGATTTTCTGTAGAATTCATAATTACTTATTACTTCATGCCACTAAATCAGTCCACAGTGTATTCTAGCAGTCAGCATAGATGTGCCGGACATAGTGATATGGAACACTTGGGTGGCTTTCCCATTCCCTTACATTGATAGATATGTCACAGGTTATCCTTTAATTTCACTTTGCCCAGATATTGTAGTACGTGAATCATAAAATTATGGAGCTAAAGTTGAAATCCTCAAACTCTTTCCCTGTTTAATTTTTGAAAAAAAAAACACATCATCATTGTCATTGTCCTCATGAAATAAAATTTAGCTCTGCCAGCCAAAATGAATTGTTTTATATTATTCAGTTGTTTTATATTATTATTTATATTGTTATTATATTTATTTTATATTATTGGGTAAGAGACAAATTTTGTGATTTATTTTATTAAAGTACTATTTTTTTCATATAGAATGTAGTAATTGTTTTGTTTTTGCCATTAATGTATTACTATTTACCTGTTTTATCTATACTTCTACTGAATTTTTGTAATTGTAAACTTACATACATGCTCATCACTTTATTTCTTTGGGGGGCAATATTATAAGAATACAGATAATGAGTAAGGAAGAATAAAAAAATTCTAATGTTGCACCTCCCCTGGATAAATAGATAGCTTTTGCATGCTATTTTCTCCTTTGTATAGGGCAGAGGTGGGGAGCGATGGTCCCTTTATGACTTGTGGACTGCAACTCTCAAAATTCCTGAATTATGGGAGCTGAAGTCCACAAGTCATAAAAGGGTTTCCCACCTCTGGTATAGGGGAACAGCAATGACATTCTTCCAGTTGACAGGTAGAGATGCAGTCTTTGCAAATTTTCTAAAACATGTCAAAGGCACTCCATAATTTATATGTTGACATTTCATGGCTTACCCTCACTAATCTTGAAACATTATCATTTTTCAACTTTCTTACCACATTTGTGATTACTTTTTAATCATGTATAAGTCACAAAGTCACTAAGTCACAAAGATTTTCAGCTTTCATTCCATTTTTACTATTTGACACATTGAAATCATTCCCACACAATTTCCTAAAATATTCCTTCCTGCATTATCTCACTTAGGTCTCAGCCTAAAATATTTCATCAATTCTTTACAAATAAATATTCCCTTATTGAATGTTAGATAACTTTTTAGGAGGTAGATATGATAGAATGAACATAGAAGCACAATTGTTGTAAAGGCTAAAGTTGCAAGACTGGAACCAAAAAGATTGGTGCCACACAGAACTATTACTAAGACATAAGTCAAGTGCTTTCCAAAGTTGAGAAATGTAAGGACTATGTACGGACCACAAAAAGAAAAGATAGATTTAAACCTTGGAGCAATTATATATAGGTGGCTGAATTGCTGGATTCTCTAGCAGCTGATCTTTATTATTGGGGTTTCTTGTGTCTGTAATAAAATAACTATTTCTACCTGAACCTTGTCCTTGACCCTTTCCACTGCTAGCTCCGAAGTGCTAATTATGCTTTACAAAGAAGTTGTATCCAGGCTGAAGCTCAGACAGTGATTTTAAAACTCTATTTCTATGGCCACTACAGAATAGAATTAGAAAACAAGACAGCAATAAGTGACACCACTAAATTTGGTGCAAATTTTATGTGCTCTATGTAGAATGTATAGAATTTAAATGTTATTTTTAGTTGACTTCTATCACCAATTACATTTTTAGTAATAGTAGGTGAATTACACTTTTATCTTATTGAAGGCCTTGAAGAGCTGAAAGCATTGGGTCAAAATGAGGCTGGACTCCAGCAAGTCAAAATAATCATGTATGGGGGAATGTTGCCTCAGGGTGCCAATAGTTTTTATTATAGTTGTCTGTTTCTTAAAACATTTTTATTGTTTTGTCAGCTGGTCTGGTTATGGCTCATGTATGAGCCACTGTATGAGTCGTATAAATGGGTGGGTGGATGAAATGTACTTAGTGAGTATAGATGATTTGGCATCCTTCAATTGAAACAAAAGATAAGACAAAGAATTTTAAAGACTGTATAATTCAAATGTAAATAGAAGAAAATAAATACAAATAAAATATAATTATAAATAAATATAAGCAAACTTCCCAACTGTACTTCTTGCTTAAAAAGTAATTTGATCTGTTTTAATTTTAGAAATGAAAATTTGTTATTTAGACATCTACGTAATATTTATGTAGAAAAATTGTGGTCTTAGTCATAATTAAGATCCTTGCAAAAAGTATGCCTCTTTACTCATGGAGAAAGATATCACTGACACTGTATAGATCTATAAAATTCCCTCCAAAATGATACAGGTAACTCTGAGTCAAAATCAGTAGACTCAGACTATACCACAATATCTGAAAAATACCTTGTACTGGCCGTTACAGTTTCTACAATCTGCCAAACTCCTACATTTTCAAGCTTCTTGTGTAAGAAAAGCAGCAGTGTAAGCAATTTGTATTCAGCTAGTCCTACATGATTTGCCAAATTTTATCTCATCATATGCCATGTAAAAGTGCTAAATATAAAAAGAATCATATAATAATAGTTTAAAAAATAGCAAGAGTTGGTGTCTAACTTGTATTGTGAAAAGTATATAATGGAGATGAATTTGTTCTGCAATATTTATTAAATTGGTAATATTAAATTGGCAGTGTTGGAATAGATCCCAAGTTAATCTATTTCATGTTTACAGACAAAATGCATTCCAAGTTGTTGCTGTGGATGGCATTTGCAGTGGAATAATTCAGTGTCTATCTGCTGAAGACTGTATTGATTGGCTGCAAGCAATAGCGATTAATATCTCCAATCTCACAAAGCACAATGTAAGTATATTTCTTAGAGGTTTATCGTATTTCCCACATATATTTGATCCCAATTCTCATAAGTGCCTCACAGGCCAAGTGCCGAATATTATGTGCATCAATTTTGATTAAAGCTTCCCCAGAGATGTCTACTCAAGTTCATTAGCAACTCAAATTCTGTGAAAATTCATTGAAAAACAAATCTTATCTTCACAATCATTTTATGATTATTAGTATTGCTTCCTTTTCATAATCCAAACTAGAGCTGAAAATAAAACTAGATCAAATTTGGCTTCTTTATTTTGTAGTCCTAGGAGACTCTCTCTGAGATAGATTCCTAGATTTATTTGCTTTACATTGTGAGTTCAGAACAATGGAATAAATTTAAAAACCAGGTGAGCAAGTTCATGCTGTATAAACTTGTTCAGTCAATACTATGGAATCAACAGATAAAATCAAATGTTTGCATTTGATTCATTAGATCAGATACATTATAATGTAAATAGTCAACTATTGGTCAAACTTATCTTAGTTCCTATTTCTTATATCTACATTGTCATCTCTATTTATTTATTTTATCCTTTTCAAGTTTTTCACTTCTCTGATCCTCCACTTCTTTAGGTCTTGTTCAATATCCCCAAACCAGAAATTTAGAGTCTAAAGTAATTGAGTTTAAAATATTTGTTTTTACCAGTCCTTCTTGTTATATATATTTTAACTTCAGCCTACTAACTCTATATACATGGAAGTATTATTTTCTATATTTTACTTAATTTATTATCAAATGTTCTCTATCTGAAAGCATTTAAAATTAATGCTGGGAATCCATTGAGAAATTGTATATTTCATGGAAATTTATATCCTCTTACAAAGCACTTTATTAATACTGAAAATTTGATGTGTTGTAGAAACATGAGAAACATATAATTTGTCTGCCATATGCAAAGTTTATGCTACGCAAGCCAGTTACATTATTACTTATTCATCCATATGATGCTGCCTCTATATCTGACTATACATTTCTAACCTTTATGCTTATGCTAAAAAAATTATGTTATTAATTTTAACTTGTGTTCCAGGCTATTTTTGATATTCATAATAATAAGTTTCTCACTTGTATCCAGCATTTAAAGCCAAATTACAATTGCCTCTGATTAACTCTGTAATTATAACTGTCAGCTGAAATGATGATGAATATCACATTGGTCCTAGAGGGTTTATTTTTGCAAGAACAAAACTTATTTAGTAAGCTAACATAAATTCTGTATAACATCAGTATGCTCTCACTGGTTTAAAAAAAAAAATGGGAGGAGAGAAGGGAGACAATTCACTTTGATACCATTACACTAAATATAGGATTTTAACTGTTAAAAAAGAAGTAATGATCATCTTTCTTAAACCAGTAAAGATATCCCAATCAAGGAAAGAGTGCAATTTGTAAACCAGATAAAGCTATGCAGACTCGCACTGAGCATGAGCTATTATGCCAGGAAGCTACCCGAGACTGCACAGTCTCGAATATCCTATCACCCATCCCCTCCCACTGTGACTGTATGACTGTAACTTTGTCGCTTGTATCCTTATGATTTATATTGACTGTTTCCTAGTATGATTTGATTGCTTATTTGTACCTTATGACTATATTAAGTGTTGTACCTTATGATTCTTGATGAATGTATCTTTTCTTTTTATGTACACTGAGAGCATATGCACCAAGACAAATTCTTTGTGTGTCTAATCACATTTGGCCAATAAAGAATTCATTCATTCATTCATTCATTCATTCATTCAATAGGGAAGTGCAACCCAACCAGGGTCAAAGATGGAACATACCCAGATGTGGAGGGCTAAAACATCTGCAGCTACAGCAATGATTGTGAATTACTAGAATGAGGAATATCTAGCATAAAAACAGATTAAAACAATCATTAAATAAATAAAACCCATCATTTTGGTGAATTAAGAGAAATGGATTTCTGATCTACTTTTCAATTTAAACATTAGATGGCAATAGAAATCTAATAGCATAATGAATCATATTTAAGGACAAAAGCTATTACATTTAGCCACAGAATTATAGAGAAAATGCTTAACAACAATTAAGATATGATTAGATATATTTGGTATTCATCTAACTTTCAAAAGGTAGTGTTAGCACTGTTCAACATTTTTATATTTTTTGTTGGTATAAGATAATTCGGTTTAGGTCACTGATTGTGGTTTCCCTTGATATGCAATTAGAAATACTTCTGTAGCTATTAAATAAGTTCAGCTACAAAACAGGATGAACTACATTTGAATTTCATTCTTATTTGATGTTGGCAATAATGCCATTTTTCAGTATCTCAGAAGTAATAAAATCACCATAATTTATGGATTCTTGTTCCATTGAGGATTTTAGAATAAATAAATCAAGCTTTTGTAGGATTGAATAGTCTCAGCAGACTATGTTGCTCAAAAGCTATGCCAACATATCAGTCTGGGATAAACTTTATAAATTACCACTTAGCTTGACTCGGAGAATATTTTAGCTTGCTGATGTACAGAGTCAGGGTGAGTGATTATCTGCCAGTTGAAACGGCTTTACTTCATAGCATTTTTATTTCTAATGATGGCCAAAAATAATAGGATAAGAAAAGTCTGTCAAAGATGGGACAGAATTTATTCTCCCTCTTTATTGTTCAGCTGCATGACTCCAGAAACTTCTGTTATTTTTAAGAGATAAGCAACACAAAATCATGGTGGTGCTTTCATCTAGACTGAATGGTAGATAATCTGAAAAGCTGAATCTAAGAGAAGTGTAGAGTAGAGAGAAATACTTTCAGCAACCTCAGGATAAGGATAGTAAATGCAATGAAGTACTAGAAGATAGAAGATGGATATAATTCTTTATTAGCCAAGTGTGATTGGACACACAAGGAATTTGTCTTGGTGCAAATACTCTCAGTATACATAAAAGAAAAGATACATTCGTCAAGAGTCAAGAATCATAACGTACAACACTTAATGATAGTCACAAGGTACAACAAGCAATCAAATCATACTAGGAAACAGTCAATATAAATTGTAAGGATACAGGTGACAAAGTTACAGTCATACAGTCACAAGTGGGAGGGGAGGGGTGGAGTGATGAGGAGTGATGAGAAGATTAACAGTAATAGTAGTGTACAGTTTGTAAATCGTTGAACAGTGTTGAGGGAATTATTTGTTTAGCAGAGTGATGGCTTTCGAGAAAAAACTGTTCTTGTGTCTAGTTGTTTTGGTGTGCAGTGCTCTATAGCATCGTTTTGAGGGAAGGAGTTGAAGCAGTTTATGTCCGGGATGTGAGGGGTCTGTAAATAATTTCACAGCCCTCTTTTTGACTCATGCAGTATACAGGTCCTCGACTGAAGGCAGGTTGGTAGTAATAGTTTTTTCTGCACTCTGAAGTCTGTGTCTGTCCTGTTGGGTTGCAGAACCAAACCAGACAGTTATAGAGGTGCAGATGATAGACTCAATAATTCCTCTGTAGAACTGTATCAGCAGCTTCATGGGCAGTTTGAGCTTTCTGAGTTGGTGCAGAAAGAACATTCTTTGTTGTGCTTTTTTGATGACATTTTTGATGTTAGGTGTCCATTTTAAGTCATGTGATATAGTAGAACCTAGAAAATTAAAGGTCTCTATTGTTGATACTGTGTTGTCTAGTATTGTAAGAGGTGGTAGTATAAGAGTTTCTTTTAAAGTCTACCACCATTTCTACGGTTTTGAGTGTGTTCAGTTCCAGATTGTTCTGGTTACACCACGAGGCAAGTTGTACAACCTCCTGTCTGTATGTGGATTCATCGGTGTCTCAAATGAGACCAGTCATAGATTGTGATGTCAGAAGAGCTGTCAGTCTCTGATTTTCTATCTTCTGTATTATTTCATGGCCATACTCATTTTTAAGAAGCTTCCAAATTCCTGTGCAATTACGATATGAATGCAAAACAAATTAATTTATCTCAGTGCAGACTTACAAATGTAGATACTACTGACATACTAGGTACTATTATGACTAGCCATAGGAAGGATGTTGTGCATGATGTATGTGGAAATTGTTTATCTCCAATCTAGCTCTGATTAGTCCCAGTAATGTATCTTCATATATATTATGAAGTGCCTTAAAAATATAAACCTAAAATGAGTGCCTTCAAAATATAAACCCAAAATGCCCTCAACTTTGATCGATTATTAGTATGGGTGAAAGATTAAATGCTTATTTTAAAGTGAAAGGGAAAGTTATTGTAAAATATGAAATGTAATCAGGTGTGTGTGTGTATGTATGTATGTTATTTTCTATATTCTAGCTTTATCTTAATTATTATTCCTGCTTGTGAAAGAACATTTTAGTCAAGCTTTTAATTAGCCTCACAATTAAAGCAATATAACCGATATCAATTGATATTAAAATGTATGCATTTATATATTTCTCAATAATTAGTCTAAGGATTTTCAGTTTGAAACAATCTCAGCACGAAATGTAGTTGCAAGTTGTGGTGCTGCATGAACCAGATAGATGTGCAATCCTAGGCTTATCATTTTAAATTAATTTCTACCTTCCTTTGACATCTCACCTCTTGTCAATGCTCTGAAGAAAGGATTCTTCTTCACAGCAAGATCTTCAATACTACATTTACCCATGTACCTGGAAGGACTACACAGAGACAATGAGATTGAAAAAGGAAAGAAAAGAGGAAAGGCAACATTTTTCCCATCAAGGGAGATCAAACAAACCACAGGGAGAATAGGTTCTGTTATGAATGTGGCAAGGTAGGAAGCTTAGCTAAAGATTGTCAAAGTTGCCTGTGTAGATAAAAAGAATGTTAGAGGGAAGCAGAAAATAATGTTCCCTTTCTGAAAGTGTGGAGGCATATAAGGGATTAAAACTGGAGTTGCTTTCTGCAGTTGAGAAAAGCAGCTGAAGCTAGGAAGAAATGCTTCCCACTCCCACCTCCCCAAGGATATCTTCAGCTCATTGCTTCTCTCAAAGTATAGTAAAAGTT